TTTTGTCAGAAGTGTATCTACAGAGGTATCAATTGGTTATATTAATAGTTGCTTTAGTTGACTTGAAAAGTCTGAATTAAGAGTACTTTTACAATTAACACATTTTTCCTAAGTTAGATGCAATGAGTTGCTGTTCCATTTTAACTTATACATTGATGATTGTATATTCGTAAGCTGTAGTTAGCGTCTGCAGTGCCAAGAAACTACATGTATCTTATCGAGTCTGTTTTATTACATTTTACAATAAATGATTACATGACTGTAACTTGTGGCTTGTGTTTAATTTTTTCACTGGAGAAGATACGAGTTGAAAGAGAAATGTTCCAGCTATGTAACTACTTACCGGCTTGCTATTTTAGTGTTCAGAATAGACGAACACTAATAAGAGTTAATCTCCTTTTATTCTGCTAACAACAAAACGCTCGAATCACAACAACTTGCTCAAAGGGCACGTGCTTACAATTGGGAGGAATTGGCAAATCCCCCTCTAAGAACTAGATGTCATATGATAACGCAAGAATGTTCTAGAAATGTCACGCAAGGAATGTTGAGGGTCACCACACTATATTACTTTAACTGAAGTTACAAGAGTACTTCATTTCAAAAAAAGTGCTTGAGCTTAGTGGGGCGCTGAACAGAACAAAATGCGGCTTGTATTTACGTGGCTTTGATGTCCATACAGCTGTATGAAAGGATGCCTTTACAGCGCTTTAAAAGGGCATTACAGACATAGTAAAGTACAGCTTTACGCGACGTGTCCATGAACCTGTATGAAAGGATGCCTTTATAGTGCTTTAGAAAAACTTTACGGACATAGTAAATGTTTCCCCTTATGCGTCTTTACAGAACCCCGGAAAGACTCTTAAAATTCAACTTTAAGATTTCGTAAAGCTCCGTAAAGTTCCATAAATACGAGCTTTACGGCAGCTTTACGGCAGCTTTACGGAACAGTAAAGTTGTTATTTTGTGCTGTGATAGAAAAACAAAAAAGGTTGTCCTAGTCATGTTCATTATTTTCTTTGGGCTGTTCTCTAAAAAAGATAGAAAACATTTTCTTGGTGTTTCTATTAAGTCATACATTAGAAAAACTTGTGAAAGTTTGGGAGGACTTGAAAAAGCTGTGGAAACACTTGCCTGTCTGCTCGTGTTCCCACAACATTTCTAGTTCTCCCAAACTTCCGTTCGTGTTTCTATTAAACAATTAGATTATGAGCTCGAGATTTCTATCAGGTGATAGTTGACAAGGGTACAGCCTGGCTAAACTATCGCGCATAGAAATCTCGAGCTCATAATCTAATTGTTTTAGTATGAATGTACTAGTCATTCAAAACTTTATCTAAATCCTCTTCACAGACACTTTGAAAACACCAAGAAGCAGCCGTTATTTTGTTAACAAGGGCACACTGCTATGTTACTCACTATCACAGAATAGATAGTAAGTAGCGCAGCCAATCAGAGAACGGCATTTTTGATAGAATGCTAGTAGATTTATACTAAAACTTGATAGAAAAACAGAACATGTTTTCTTTTTCTTAAATATTAATGAGTTACACATGAAGTTTGGTGTAAAGGTTTCACAAGAATATTGTGATGCCACCCAAGTAAATTACAGCACCTCCCATCTTTGGGTTGGGATTTGAATAATTTCGTAACCAGCCACCTAACTATGACTTTTTAAAACTTAAGACCTGAACATGACTCCATCTAGGTCTGTAGCTCACCTAGGACACTTTGCAGAATGTCAAAAGTAGCTTAATAACGACAAAGGCTGACGAAAATAGACTGAAATGTTTATAGGCTGATATAAAGACCTTGACTCTTTTCACGCCCTAAGGACCAGCAAACGAGTAATAAGCTATTAATCTATTCCAAGAAACGCAGTCAGAAGCAGAATAGCTTAAGCACATTGATTCGATTGAACTTAGTACAACTTCAAATGCAGAACATTTAGCTCAATTATAACATAGCTAGTGATACTCAGTATAACGACTGCCTGGGTACACGCAGCAAAGTGTTTAGTTTGTGGCTTCGCTTGGCTCTTCACGTGACTCTTTGCGTGACTCTGAGTCTGGGCGAGGCCGCAGCAAGCCGAGTATTTGCAATGATGACAGCAGTGTCAGCTGCGGCTTTTTTCTGTGCTTCGTGCGCCTGTCTTGTTTTCTCAGCGGCTGTGGCTTGGTGGTTGGTATTTTTGATGTCACCCACACCCAAGAGAAGGATGAGCCAACGGTGGACTAAAATCGATGTGTTTTGTTGTTATCAGCGCCGCGTTGGCCACTGCGAGCAACCGCCCACATCTCAACGCAAGGCTCTTTAGTTATGATGTAATCATTTTTTAGTTCATTCTGCAAAGCGTCAGCATCTTTCACCCGCACAAACATGCCAACCACTTTTATGGCCAATGTCAGAAAACTTTTAATCGATGTTTCAGTGGTCTTGGCACCTACGTACGTCTCGTGCCTTTTGTAGTGCTTTTCAACCTCTTTGTCAGTGAAGTGCTTCACTTGCTCGTGTGTTAGGTGCACGCTAATAGCTTCTTTTGATTTGCCTGTGGAAACAAGAATTAAAAGCTGTTCACGGAGAGCTGAGATGTCATTGGCTGTGGACCAGGGTGCGTACTTGAAGGCTCTGTTTGCAGCAGGTGCGTAACTTTTTCCAATGCTTTTGTTTCATTGCTGCTTCCACCAGTGGAAGTGTTGACATTGGCCATATTAGCAGGGAGATATGTTATATATTTTTTCTTTCAATTCGAAAACACTTCAATCCCAAAAGGAAAGTGGAGAGAAAACGCGAAGTGGGAGAACTTGCGCCCCTTTAGGCTTGCAATCAGCTGCTTGAGGGCATCTTGAGAAAGTTCACCCCCATATTTTTTGAAGATGGCCTTTGTGGTCTTGGCCGAAGGTGTGTAAAACAACACGATCGCTTCAACATTTTCACGGAAAGGCTTTGCGATGCTGGAGAGCTGCTGAGTCAGCACCCACACGCTCATGTTCGTGTGGCGGGCAGAAAAGCCGAGCTTGACAAGCTCGCCAGTCCACCTTTTCGCGTCTTTGGAGACCGCGCAGTCATCAAGGACTATATGGATATTGGCACCTTCAAAATACAAGCTCGCCACTTTCAACCAAAGCTCCAATTTGTGCTGCTCGCAGATGATGACGAACAACCGCGGGTCTCTCTCAGCAATGTGGTTAAGGGTCTTGTTATAAGCAAACGTCGGGCAGATGAGCACGACATAATCAAACCTGCCACAGAAGGAGCCACAGAGCTCGTTCATGAGTAACTGCATTTTCCCTGATTTGGCAGGGCCCATGATGAGCGCGTTGAAGGGAATGTTGCTGGGGTCCATATTGAATTCTGCACAGATTCTAGCTGTCTGCCCATGATGTTCAACTGGGAGTCAGAGATCACGAAAACATGACAGTTCACGGTGCCTGAGCCTTTGGTGCGTTGTTCGATTTCTAGCTGGACGCCGTCTGTGGTGTTCACAAGCCGTTTGCTGCTGCCATGCATTGTTTGGTCCGCCATAGAGCGCAGATCAATCAGAAGACCAAACTCATTATCAGTGTAGAACTTTTGCAGATTCATGTGCTCAGTTTTATTTTTTCTTTCACAAAGAAGCGGCTGGCCTCTTTCCACATGTCTTTGCCTTCAGTTCCCTCGTTGTCCAGCATGCTGGGCAAGCCGTTGATGATAACGCTGACTTTTGTCAGGTCCAGGAAGATGTATTTAACGGAGTCCTTTGTGCCCACGGTATACGGCTCTACGAACAGAAGGAGTATGCCTTTCATTGACCTTCATGGGGCATCGACTTTGATATTCACCCTCGTGTCAGTGCCTTCCACAAACGAGACCATTTTAAGGCGATGCACACGGTCATAGGCAAACTCTTTGCCACTGGTGTAAATGCTTTGCAACTCTTCTGCGAGTGTCTGGCTGCGGATCATTTCGTAGTCGAGCTGGATGTTGGTCAGCTTGTATTTTAGCTCTGTTGGGTCTGAGCCTTTGACCAGCTGTGAAGCTAGCGCAAGAGTCACTTCAAATATGAGGTCATTGTAAAGGGTCTGGGGATAGGAAATTCCGTGGTCGGACAGTATGTGATGGTCAAGCGTGATGCGATAATTGTTCCCCTAAATTTTGTTTAGTTTGTTTTCAGCGGCTACGCCCGAGGTCTTCTTGTCTCATGCGTCTGTGCAGATCGCATAAATCTTCGCTCTGAATCCTCTCAGGCACCATATATTCCCGCTTCTCTCCCAGCAAGAAGAGATCCTCGAAGGTTTTGTAGATGTCGTAATCAACCGTGTCTTCCAGGGTATGGCTCTCAAACTTCACCACCGGCTGGTCAACAAGCGCCCACGAGACATTCTGAACAAGAAAGTTGTTAGCGTGCTCTCCAGAAAGGTCGATGTCAAAACGCAACGCTAGCGACCCGGGCACGAGAACCTTGTTCGTGTTCAGCTTTGGCACGGAAACATACAGCATCTCGCCGGGGCTGGCTTCAGTTTTGTCAAAGGTGATGCGCTTGACCACGCGCGGGGCCTTCATGGCGCGTAAGGTCTTTTCGGCGTGAGTTGGGGAAAGGTTCTCTGGCACGGACATTTCTTCTTCAAAGAAGGTATAACAAACCGGGATTATTTTCTAATTTACAAAAAACATAATTGAAATATATTGCAATAGCAGAAGGCGGCGATTTTGGTTACAATGATCAAGACCTTGACTATCGGCTTAAACACGATGTTACGAAAAATTGTCTAAGTCAATTTCTAGAACAATCTAGAAACGGAAGTCATTCAGCCATGACCAATTTGTATAAGAACATTCCACAACATTGTAATCCTTATGTAATTACTCACATTAGAAACTGTGTCAAACTACTTAATTTAGCTTGTAATGGACGTTTCTAGAACTTTAAGCCTTATGTATATTAGAGCGAGAGGTTCTGCTGTAAGAGAGATTGATTCAAATTTAAAGAAACTTAGTGCTGTAAATTCGCGAAGTTACCTTACGGAAATAAATTAGTTTGTTGCTGTTACCAGCGATTCTGAGTTCTGTCAGGAAACAACCCTGCTCTTCAACGATACTCGTAACACACGATGACGGTGAAGAACAAGAGGTCAACACAACCCAGCCCTTTCAGCCAGGCGCGGTGTCCACTCCCTACGACTGTGGTGAAGAAATAGAAATGCAAAGGAGGCAACATGAGAAGACCAAGCTGCATGTCCCTTCTTACGATTACGAAACCCCCTTGTTGCGCACGCAATCTGAAAGCCAAAGCTCGTGGCATGCTTTAACGAGGCAGTTTCCTGAGGCAAGCGCAACAAATCTAGAAGCTTCTTACAGCAATAGCAGCTCACTACATGTCAAAATGTTTGGCGTCGGCAAAAAACTTTATAACCTGTTCACCAAGGATAAGACAGGCAAGTAACATCTGAACCCCTTGCTTACAAAAGAAATCAGAAAATCTCTTGGACCGATGGCACAAGAACTTATCGTCAAGAAAATGAGAGTTTAAGAAGCAATCGCCAAAATTTAATAGACGCTGAAAAACAATTAAAACAGGCAGAGGCTCTCGTTGCGGAAGACAGAAAAAAAGAACGAGACATGCAAGAGCTTAGACAGAAAATAGAGAGAACTCAAGCACAGATTGATGCCATTCATGACGAACGTGGCACCAATATTGAAATGCAATGAGAAATTGACACGCTGAAGACGCTGAAAAACAATTATCAAAACACTTATGAAAAACTAAAAAAAGACGTGGCTGGGCTTGAAAAACAAGCAAAAAACAAAGAAAAAGCCCAAGTAGACGTCCACAGGTTCAGTGAAAAAGTCGCGGCAAAAGAAAGTAAAAGAAACACCTTGGAAGAAAGGCTAAACAGCACAAAACCTTAAGATGACCTGAAAGAGCGAGAAAGCGAGCTGCAGAGTGAAAAAGAGCAACTCCAGGATATCATCCAATCTGAAGACTCCTCGTCCGCTGACAAAGAAGCGGCAGAAGAAAGAGTGGCAGAAATAAACGGGGAGTTCGCGCGTTTGCAAACTCAGGCTGAGGAAAGAGAAAGAACACGGCCTCCCTCGGAAAGAATCAAAGAGATCTTCAAAAAATATGGTGTGACAGTGACGGCTGTTCTTTTTGCTGGTGGAGTCACAATCGGGGTGGTCGTTGGCACCATTGCTAAGGCTTTGAAAGCCACTGGAAAAACTTTGGGAAACAGTCTTCAAGATACAGGCACGTCACTTGGTTCTATGCTGCCTAAGCTGATTGGCTCAATTGTGAGCTTCCTTTTCATCACAGCCGGGCAAGTGGTAAGCTATCTCGCTGAGCACACCTGGCTACTGATTCTTGCCGCGGTGGCATTTTTATTTGAAAAATATAGCAAAAAGTGCCCTTAATACAATTTTTACTTGAGCATGATCAATACCAATGCCGCGAGCCCTACCACCGCTATGATAACAACTGTTTTGTTGATTTCATGTTGCAAAGGTTCTACTTGTGGGCCGGCTGGTGGCTAGGGCAAGGCTGCAGCCAACAGCTAACTCAAAGAGGGAGAACCTGTCAGTGCTTTGCCCACATTGCTTCCACTTGTGGCCGTAGTCTTTTTTGATTAGGGAATTTAAAATATGGTATGGCTAGGCTCTAGTACTGCGGCAGTTAGTGAAGATCACTTTCGGTGACGTCATGACACGCGTACCAGAACGGCCCTCCCGCCGTAGCCTTCCTTTCTACTACGGGAAAGTGCTTGGTTTCACGTACTCTTCACTAATTGAGTATAAGCCTGCTGTTTACTTTTCATTTTAACGGTTTTTTCACTGTTTAAACAGCCTAGTTTGAAGATAAGGTTCTCAATCATAAAAATCAGTTCTAAAATCATTGTTTCTGTGTCATTTGCACAGACAATTTGAATGATTTTAACACCTACCGCAAGATGATCAATTCAGTCATATTAATATCGGGCTGAACAGCTGTTTGTAAGAAAGCTTCGTATGTTCTAATCTGAGCTACAATTGTTTATTTCTGTAAATGTATTTTATTACAATCGAGAATTCTGTATTTTCGGGCTTATCACATAATCATTGTATGAACAGCCTTTCCGTGTTGAAATCGGGCTTTTTTATATCAGAGTTTATATTTTGTTTTGTGGTTGGAATTACAGGCGCTTCTATCAAGTTCTAAAAGGCAAATCTGAGTTCTGGGAGGTGTAAGACAGATGCAGGAGAAGGAAATCATTGTCATTAATCAAGCCTATTTTGCATGAAAGTAGAATGATCTCTGGTTTCCTTGAAAGTAGTCATTTTTGTAAAGACACGTAGAGACTGCACATACCGTTGTCATACAGCAAAATCTTAATCATTTAAATTTGGCGTGTAAAACACTGTTGTCAGCCTAGTCCCTCATGGTCAAGGTAGCCATAGTAGCACCTCACCCGTAGCGTATCTGAAAGTCCCTATTCAGCCATTGTGGCTGCGGCATTGCCGCAGCAGTTGCTGCTTTGTGAATTGGGTTAGAAGAATGGCTGTTTACCGGTTGATTTTTGATGGGCTGCCTTCCACCATTTTTAGCCCAGATTTTTTTGTGCCAGGATTCACCTCATTGTTCACCTCCAGTTTCATTCCAGCGACAGCCTGTTTCAGCTTATTGTTGTAACCAACCATGCTTTCTGTGTTGATGATCGTTCTCACGGGTATCAGCCACACCCCGGGGCACACCACAAGGTTGAGTCTGACCTTCACTTGATCTACAGCCAGCTGGTATCTTTGCTCGCTCTGTGACAAGTCTGGCTGTCTGATCGTGTCTTCTGTCAAAACCAGAAACTCGCTCTAGGCTTCTCTCGCTCGGCCTCCTTCTCCAAGGATACTGCTGCGCACATTGACTTGCGCACCCAAGATGCAGTGAAAAAAGGCTTTGATTGACTGATTGATGCATGAAAGGCCTATTTGCGTCAAACCGATGACAGTTTTTGGAGCGAACCAGTCATACTCAGCCACAGCATCGCGCTCAATGAAAGAGAGCAGATTTCCTTTGCTTGCCACCCCGCCTTCATCAATGAATTTATAGAACCCTCCTGGATAAGCAGTTCCTGTTTTCATTGACCCGTGTCCTGTAACGCCAATGCATACGCTTCCTAAGCCATGGTTTTCCCATGTGTGAAGCGAAAATCACTGAATGAATTTATTCCAAACCCGTCACATATCCTTTTGTATGAAGCTACCTCATAATGATTGTTGGATTTATTGAATGTTGGGTCACCTGGCAAACCGCTGATGTTCTGAATGCTGCCAAGCTGGTACAAAACTCGCCTGACCGTAAAATACACATGGAATTGATAAATAGCTCTTACTTGCGGCAGC